TTGATCACTAGATCACCGAGTACTGTCGCGATGAAAAAGAACGACCAGATGGTTCTAGCAAACTGGAGATCCTGCAGCTAAGATGCAGAGCTCCCAGTTAGCTATAGATCACTTCTTGGGGGCCATCTCCTAAAGAGTGCTTTGCTCCTCTTAACAGACACAAAATGCAATTAAAATGTCTGTGCAACAAGATCACGAGGCCCTTACGTGACACAACATGCCTTTCACACTCATACGTTGCTGCAGAAACCGCCTACAAAACGAGTACTGTCCACACACACACACACACTACTGGGAGCTCACCAGGAAGAGACTGGGCGGAGATCTCATGGTCGTTGATGTGTGTTTGCAGAGCGTTAACGTCTGAATACACCCGCTTACAGCCGTGGAACGGACACGGTGTCCTCTTGTTTCCTGAAATGGACAAACAAGGCTTTATAAAATGCCGTGAATAAGCTGTGTGACAGCAACAGTGTAAATAACGTCAGTTACATAGCGATAGAATTTGAGCTGGTTAGCATGCTAGCTAGCAAGACGGCCAACTTAGGCTATTAGCTAATGTGGTTGAGCATAGTAAAACGTTGCGTCTTTTGGCGTCTGTGTGCAATGTTTGCGCTAAGTTACAAACCTCCGGTTCCATTTTCCGCTGTGTGAGACACTGAGCTGCCCGCAGACATCATAGGGCGGAGGAGTGAGCTCTGCAACGACCACAATAAAGGGAGTTCAGAAACACACTACAAGTACCAGAATGCAATGCGACTCATACGGTGCCCGAATGCATACTTTCCGTATTTCTTTAGTTTCGTTTGAGACCTACTGTTTTTGTCTTTTTTATGTTTCGAATTTTTTCTTTTGTTATGATAAATGGAAAATAGAGTCAGTGGCAATTTGCAAGCATTGTATGAAATATTGAGCAAGACAATAAAAAACATAAAGAACACACACAAGAATGAACTTAAAGGGGAACTTCGGCAGATTCTTTACCCCTAGTCTTGATCCACTAGACGGTCCCGAGCGTACTGTCGATAAGGAAAAAGAAACGACCAGATTGGTTCTAGCAAACTGGAGATCCCTCGCACGCTAATGCGTGCTTTCCATCTTTGTCTCCGAAACCCGACCGCCCGAGTTGAAAAGTGTAAATCTCGCAGCTATCTCGCAACATTTCACCGAGAATATTAGCCTAGCTTACAGTTTTGTACAACTACAATATATCAGTGGTGTCAACATATGTAGGAAAGCCATCCATCTTCTGGACGCCCTCGATCTCTAGTTTGTGGTCGTACTGTTGCATGAGGCTGTGATCGTCCTAGAGGTCAATAGCTAATTTTATAGAACTTTCAATGAAATGGCTTTGTGAACAGATCCTGAAAAATGAAGAGCAGTCCCCAGTTACAAGCAGCCCAAAAGTGCATGGGATTAGCAGGAAGTGAGCATGTCTGTAAAGGGGAGACTACATTCTGATATCTTGGGGGTAGACGTCAAGGGATCCCTTTGACAATAGCCATGCAAGTTTTTCCATCACCAAAACTTCACTAACCCCTGCCTAATGGGAAGCTAGAATGACATGGTTGGTACCAATGGATGTTTTTTCTACTTTAATATACTAGTGTCTTCACTATAAGTCTAGCCCGCTACAGCCTCTGAAAGAGAGTAATGTGATGTCATGATGTCATGAATGTATTCGTCAGCACACACTGGAAGAGGTTACCATAACACCGGAGGGGATAAAAAGTCTTATTCTCTGCTTGATCCTGGTGCCAGTGTATTCACCTATATTAGTGCCTTCAGAGTGATGATTTTACAGATGAAAATAGTTGTTGAGGTGATCTGAATGTAATTATTTTCCCTACCATGTATTCACGTGTATAATGTATGATGGAAAATGGAAAAATAGTTTGATAAACAAAGATCTGCAAGGACAAATAAATGTAATATTCATCTATATCAGTGTTCATTCATTTTACAAACAACAATATAATAACAAAACATGTTAAGGTGATAAATTGGTGAATGAAGAGAGACTGAGGGTCCACAATAACGCTACTGAACCTGTGCAAGGCTGCATTACCAGCTGGATTAAGTGGGCAACTGTGTGGGGCCCCCAGACACTCATGGACCTCAACAGTCCGTACACAGTGCTCAGAGTGGGAGGTGGTTGGGTCAACAGGGGCACATCAGAAACTTAAACCCCATAACAGGTTAATCTGGCCACAGATCAGTGTAATATGTGTCTAATTTGGAACACTGTCAAGTTCTACAGATATTCAGCTGCATATAAGCAGTCATAATTGTTTCAATCTCAAACAAGAGTACCAGAGGAAGCTTTAAACTGTACACCACCTTTAAGATGTTTCCTTCAACCTTGGAGCAATCGGACGAGCTACCTGGAATGAGCATGTTTGAGTTGTGTTTATCGTCAAAGGCTTGAATACCATCAACAGTAGATTTAGTGGATTTATTTCAATCACCTATCAGGAAATGTTTGTTTGTCGTCGGTGAATGGAGCTGATAGTTCAAATTTGTAGGAAAAAACTGCAACGTGGACTTTTAAAGTGGAGTTTTTATTGATCTTATCAACATGTAAATAGTTGCATTGAAAGTGTACACATTAATCATAAATCAGAAATGTGCACTGGCACAGAATAAAAAGTTATTGCATTCATGTTGAAAAAATGTATCTTGATACAATAATCACTTATCTCATGAGGAGATCAAGGAGCAGCCAGGGTGACTTTCTGCACAGGAACTAATGCAAACAACTTCTAATATAGCCTACCTACCTACTGTGAGCTAGAACTCGCTGCTTAACAACAAAAGTCTTAACATGCAAATTTTTCTCTTGACCATTTATATTTTGTAAACCAGCAATGATCATTCAACAAGGTGTATTCATGTTCAAATTCAGCAGTACAATGGCATACCATTATACAGTAGAGTACTATAAAACAATTAGTCATATAAATCATTACAAAAACTGGTGTTATTACTTTGTGAAAGTACTTAAGAAGAGATTATATGTATTCACTTCATGCAAAAACAGCAATTTTTTGATAAACCATCAACCTTTTTTACACCTAGAATTAAAATGCATATTGAGAGGCCCAAAAAGACGGTTAAGTAGAAATGGAAATACATGTATAATCTCTACAACCCTCCCAAACACTGTGCTAAGAAGACAAAAATGCATAAAAAACATCAAATCCATGGTGCAGTACAGACGTCTGATCATCATTACAGTACATACAAATAATTTAACATGGACGACTCTGTTTGGTGCAGGTACAGGAGAACACAAAACACGTAAAATGATTCAGTAGTTCACAAGAAAATAAAGCAGTGGTTCACAAGAAAATAAAGCAAAGTTAAAGGAAAATCTAAAAAAAATAATATTTCTTTCTGGCACGAAAGTATTAGTCTGCTTTGCCGTCCTGTGACACCTCAAATCTATCTAGTGGTCACTAAAAGTTCAGTGTGTAACAATGAGGAGGATATATTGTCAAAAATAGAATATAATATTCATAGGTATGTTTTCATTAGTGTATAATCACCTGAATATAGGAATTGTGTTTTCGTTAC